TATATAATATATAATATATAATATATAATATATAATATATAATATATAATATATAATATATAATATATAATATATAATATATAATATATAATATATAATAACATTTAAAAAAAAGGTATTTGTTATCATATTCCTTAATCGCACGAATATTCGAAAAATTTGTTTAATCCGCTCAAGCAAGTCGTATGTGCAACAATAATACATCTTTCCCTGCATAATTAATGGTTCCGCAGATAAATGGCTAAACATGGTTTGCACTCTTAACTTTCGGAACTATTTCTACCACCTGAACAAGAATAATGATTGCCAAAAAAGAAATACGTGTCCAATATTTTGCAGCTCCCCATATTATGTACAAAATGCGTCGTTTATCTTGTCTGCCTTCACATCTTCGTTTCTTTGCCGATACAAAGAAACGTGCCATAATAGAGGCGTTCGGTTCAGAACGACGAATATTATGATTGATGATTTCTCTCTCTCTCTCTCGCAGAGAATATTTTTTCTCAACATTTCGAGATCATTTTTAACCGTTAAAGAGAGGACCACCGCCTCCCTGCACAATTTTCTTTCATTGACACCATTTCACCGACTACCGTCTCTACCATATATGTTGAATTTTAAATGTAGCATATAAATCGTTACATCAAGCATTCCAAACTCATCTGCCAACATGGCGTCGTTAGGATCTAACTTCCTCAGCGGTCCTTCAACACCTTGAATGTCGAAGATCAACCCTGAGAACTCCCACGAAAGCAAAATAATTTATTTAATGAAACTGAAACTAGAACATTCGAATTTATCGTAGTGGATGGTACTTCAACCCTTTTGCATTCTAAACATTACAGTAACATCCAGTTTGTTCAAAATTAGTGTCATACATGTAGTGAGTGAAGTGCGTGCGCGTTAAGAATGTGTGTGGAGAGCGAGGTATATATATATATACATACACATCTGCGTGTGTGCGTGTGCGTGCCTGCGTGCTAGCGTGCGTGTGCGTGCGCGCGTGTGCCGTGTGCTGAGCGAAGCGGGGCAGCGGCCCGAAAATATGTAGATATCGATTAAGAAGGATGAAAGTAGTCAGCGTCCAGCCTCGAAGCGTTAAACATCGAACTTTGCACTAAAATATATTTCTTTCTTTAAAATATTAAATTAGGTGATCCTATAATCGAGATATCCGTTCGGAAGACTCGCGATAGGGAATCCCACATACATATTCGTCGTGTTCATATCGCAATCAGATACCACTCTAAATTCGGTATATGAATTTCCGATGCTTGAAAAAGCAACAAATAATAAGTCTAACAAAAATAGCGAGAACTGGACTGCGGATTGTATGCATTTACGACGAAAATGGTTAGAAGAGATACAGAACTGTAAGAAGATCCAAGGAATTTGAGAAAAAATGCCGATGTATTATTATGAACTTATTAAGATCGTCAGAGAAAGAAAGAAACTTCTAACTGACTGCCGCTCTTTGCAATCTAAGCCGACAATTTTTATTTCGCGGAGAGGTCCACAGTCTAGTAGTAACTAAATTACGCGAAGAAAGAAGATTGGTGGAGTAGAGGATGTAGCAATAGTAAAAGCGAAGCTTATCCAATTCACAAACCGTATATATATATATATAGCTTCCCATTCCCACAGTTTCAGTTAGGATTCCTGTAATCTCTTGACCAATACGATGTCCGATCTGTTGTAATCGAAGAAGCTAGTTAAGTTGATCCACGCCCTTTGACAGTTCTATCGGTGTCCGCAGGATCCTGGAGAAGGTAGCGGGCCTGTACGGGTTCGGCGGCAAGGCGTGCCTGATGAAGGCAATTTGCGAGGCGGCGTCCACGCCGTTCGACGACAAGCATAGTCTATTGGGGCAGCTGTTGCAAGTACTTTTCAAGTAAGTAGACCGCATGAATGGGAATCACGGGGGGTGATTCCCCACATGGGTTGTCCGGTGGCACGTGCGAGGAGCGGCAGAAGCAACGACCACGGCGACGACGTGGTGCCGCTAAATCAATGCCCCAAATTTCGTAATGCGGGACGAACGGTGGATTAAGAGGGCAACTGCTGCGGCTGGATTAAACGATGTCCGCGGGCACGCGGGAACGCGGGACCAATTAACGGGGCCGGGGGCGCGAAATAACTTGGCTGGTTTCTCGCGTATCCGCTCGTATTATTGATCCCACGAACTCCGCGAACGCGCCTCCCCCCCCCCTCTTCCCATCCAACATCCGCCCCGGCCACCGAATTCTTTTCCGCCCCGTTTCTCGCGGCCCGAGAGCCCGCCGCGCCAAGCTGCGCCGGCACGATCTCGCCCGCGACCGATCGATTCTAATTCTTCGCGGCCTGCGCCGAAAACTGAATTCACCTGGAATTTCCAGGCCCTCCAGCACCGAGGAGCGGTACGAGGAGTACGGGGACAGAGAGTACAGAGCGGCCGAGCGCTTGGGCGAGCAGGTGTCGGCCGAAAACTGCCACGCCCTTTATCCCGAATGCCGCAGAAGTGTGCTCGACGTGTTCTCCACGGTGATTTCGTGAGCACCGACACCGAAAATACGGACTCCGGATGGAACAGGCGCACGCCACGGGAACGGCCACGCCTCGAATCCTCGTTGATTCCGTGGCTACGAACCGCTCCCGAGATATCTATCCGCTTTCTCGGCTCCGCCAACGAGAACCGCCAGCGAGGAGCGGCAGCGAGAACTGGCAGCAAGCGTCGGCATCGAGGATCAACGTCGAGAATCGACAGCGATCGCCGGTAACGAGGATCGACGATCAAGAACTTGTTGCCGAACGAACTGTATACGATCGTGGACAAATACAGTCGATGCAAAAATTATTCGTACACTTTTTCAAATGGAATAACCTTTTAATAATTCGGCCAGGCCCAATTTGGGCCTAAAATTTGTTGCGGATGTTAGGGAGATTATTTTACTAGATATGTATTGGCGAGAAAACTGTATTTCAAAAATTACAATTGGTTGGAGGGATAAAAGAATTTCATAAAATTAATGTATATTATTTGGTCAAATTTGAACTAACAAGTTAGATTGTGTGACATCGATTACTTTTTTAACGTTCTTATGTTTTGTTGATCCTAACAACATTAGAAAGGTATAATAGATTAACTTTGAAATTAATTTTCAAACCTGTGCAAATAATTCCGTCACGCAAATATAAGCGGCATTCAATGTGTTAAAAGTAGCGAAAGTTCCAGTTTTCACGACTTTCGACCAAAAACTGTAAGATCTAGTTATCGACGCCAATAAAATGCGTTTTTGAATTTCTGGCATTTGTTCAGATAAGGAAGTTGAATAACGCGATTTCTTAACTTTTTTTATCATTTTAAGCAATTGCTATTTTTACGTAAAATGTTTAATACGTTATCTGCTAAATTAGTTCCTCTAACACCTCAAAAAATTTCATCTCGTTTGGTTCAATTTTAGAAGAAGTTATTCCCTTTTAAACGGTGTTCAAATATATTTGTCCACAAATGTGCCTATCGATGAAATAGCGGAGTTTGGACATCAGGAAAGATAGGATACTAATTGAATGGTAATATTCTATTAGTCCAACACTTGTGGAAATCGCAAAGATTAAACGTAAAATATCTTCATGAATAACTGCAAAATATTGGTCGGGTTATTTTTTTGCTCTGGATTCATCAGAGAAAATTCTATCGAAATCGATGACCCAACGACTGCGACCTCTCCTTGTTAGCATTTCCTTACTTGGCAACTTCTACACAACTTAATTCATGAAATATTGAACTGTTCAACTGCTCAGATCCGCTCGAATCGGCTAAATAGGCAAAATCAGTATAAGATCTCTAGGATTCTAACACAATTCCTAGATCCGCACTCGGCGAGTCCTTGAAGCAATAAGCCACTTCTGTTCTCTAAGCATTCGTCTTCTCCCAATGTACTTAATGAGGATAAGAAAATGGGTTAAGCCGTGGCTAGAGCACAACACAAGATAGAGTTTGTTCAGGAATTACATGTAAAATATTAAACACCTGTGAGATAGTCTAGCTCTTTGCATCATAATTTCTTTCGCAGCTAACAAAGAAGGTTTGCCAACCCGTAAATTCCAAAAATTATAAAACTTTGCACACAAGTAGAGTGAGTTATACCAAATACATCCCTATTTTGTTTGTTTTGCTGTCATTCAGTTTAAAGTGGTAAGAACCTCTTGAATAAGTTTAAAATAGTATAAGTTTCAAAATATTCTCGTTCGTAATGGTATTTTTAAAACGTTGAAACAAGACTTGCATCGTTTTATTGTTTAAATCTTCATTTACAAAAATGTGCAAAAACAACTTGAAAAATCCACGATCTTTTATTTACGTCCTCCTTTGAAAAAGAAAATTAAACAATACACGTTGAAATATAACTTGCGTATATAAAATTGTTTTTTTTATGCGTAAAATCATAGTACCAAATAGAAAATCTAAATAGATTTTCTATAGTATTCACAGTTTTTTAATAAAGCGATCTTATGAAGCAATAACTCAGAAAATTATTTTTATTTTTCGTTTGTTCGCATGAAAGTTATAGCAAAAATTGAAAAAATGGTATTTCAGTCATTGTACGCTAAACTAGTCCCTTTAACATCTCTAAAAAATTCAGTTCATCCGGTCCAGTTTTAAAAAAGTTATACCGTTTTAAATGGTGTCCGAATACTGTTTTTACCCACTGTGTACGTTGTCGACGGCGAAAAGGCTTTAACATGTAGTTCGTGGACGGAATCTCGTGTGTCGGGGATATTGGAATTTTATTGTTGTCATTTGTTCCGGCATAGTGGATGAAGGATTATTTTGATACAGGCATTAAAACCATCGTATCGTTTAAATATCAGATTCTTCGAAACAATAATACTGGCTTAAAGGGCTTTCTACTTTGACGGTAGAAAAACATTGTAATCTGTCGAAAGAAATGTAATAACGTATCAACGTCAAACTCTGTAAACGGTTTTACGAATCGTTAACAAATGTATAAAATTTTCAATCCCGGCGCTTTAATCAGAATTCGATTGGAAAAAATGTCTTTCAAATGAGAACTAGTGTTATCACAATTAGCCGTTGCAACTATTCGAGATAACTAATCATTTTTTTTTTATGAATACATACGTTATAAGAAATGCAAAATTAAGATGCTAATTAGTAATTAGTAATTACTAGCCTGCGGATTTTTATGCAAAGTAAATGAAATGAAAATATCTTTTCCCTTTTAACAATCATAATTAGTTGGAAACGATGTAACAATATACTTAAATTATTCTAATATTTTTGCTTTTGAATTAGATTTATTCATTTTTGTGGTAAATGCATAAAATCCGTGATCTAGTAATTACAAATAATCATTTNGTTAATATCGATGTGTGAACGCGCCTTCAACAATTTTCAACTATCGAGGTTAAATTCTATTTCATTTAATACATTGAAAATGTTGGAATATTTCTATTTTTATCATTACCACGCGCGATACATTGCTTTATATATTATTAACAGGTCGGCCGAGTCTCTGTTTTATTTCGCTAATGAACTCGGAATATTAATTTTCATAGTTTAATAGGCAAGAGAGAGAGAGAGAGAGAGAGAGACAATAGTCAGCATTGCGAATTACTTTCATAGTTTGAATATTTTCTGCTTCGGGTAACATGTTGGAACATTGCGAACACCATCGCCATGCAAATTACTAGCATGACGAGTTGTAGAAAAGGCAATTTCGAAATTTCACTCGGTACACGGTGGCGTTGCAAATTTCACAACCGGATTGCTTTTGTAATTTCTTTTCAGAAAGAGTGGAATTTTTATTAATACGATATGTGAAGCAGCAGTTTATATGCGAGTGTGTACTGCAAGCGCTGATCACATGATTCGTTCTTAGTATGTAATTACTTACAAGCTTAGAAGTCTAACATATTCAAAAGTTACAACGTTTCAATAGTATTCTTCTTCTTCTTCTTTATGCAAAGTGAAAATTATTTGAGTTAATTGTAAGAAATATAAATGATATAAAAATATATTTTCCCTTTTAACAATCATAATTAGTTGGAAACGATGTAACAATATACTTAAATTATTCTAATATTTTTGCTTTTGAATTAGATTTATTCATTTTTGTGGTAAATGCATAAAATCCGTGATCTAGTAATTACAAATAATCATTTGTTCATCAGAAGAATCTGATGTTAATGCTTTAGGGATAAATCAACGCTCTTGGATTTTGTAATTGTCGCGTTTGTTTCACTTTGTCTCGATTGTTCTATGCCTTCTGACTCCAATCGCACGTCTCGCTTTCCCGTGGTCACGTAATTGATGCACACACAAACACGCTCACAGAAAGCATAGCCACACACGTCTGATGTGCTCCTAACCGAAAATGGCGACCACGGGAGAGCGAGACGTGACGGGAGTCAGGAGACGTTGTTTGTTTTTAATCGGCCGAACTCGAGTTCCCCGTTTCGTGGAAATTCAGTATGGCGGCTAATTTGGGGCTAATAGGAGGGAATCATTTCTGCCAATAAGGAAAACGCGTTTATCCTACTTTTGCGATGGCGTTAACATGGATGGTTTGGCCTACATTTTTCTCAGCTGACTTTTTCTGAGAAACGGACTGTACATAATTCGCAGTAATTGACGTTTGTAAACACTGTCTCGGACAGAAGCAATTGCGGTAGAAGAATCGACAACTAATTCCCTTACAAGAATGAATAAACTTTAAAGTTGATTTTCTCGAAAACGGAGCTAAAAAATGTTATTCCAAATTTGTTTTACTTTTTCATGTAGAATCACCTTCTGCTCGGCTGTACTACGAATTCCGGCCCACCCTATATAGCAGATTCTTCGAAAACTGTATTTGGCCAACTTTTTAGTAAGACTGAAATTCGTGCGATAGAAAAAGTAATGTGCATTCGTTGCACATTTTAGCGCAAAAGATTAACACATTGAATGCCACCGGAACTGAGTTTGTTCGCAATGCCGTGGTGTTCACCGTTGACCGGCGAAGCCAAGATTCCTAGAAACACGTAATTCGAGTAAATTTCAATGCTTTCAAATTTTCAAAAAATGTTGTGAACAAGTGTGTAACATAGAACGTATACAAATGATTACACACTTTCACCGTAATATATAAAACATAATAAGAAGTTCATGTCGGCCAGATGGGCGAGCCGTGTAAAATTAATATGGCACTGTGTGTTCATAAACATACTAAACCAGTACGTGACTTTACCCTTTGCACTCGAGTAGCGACTCCGAGGCGCTATTAAAAATTATTACATCGAGTCTCAAAATAATTTTATTCATTAAATTTGATTATATTTAAAAAGCTGTTGTAAGTGTAACTGCTGCATGGGTTACAATATTCCATTTCATATGCAGAGAGCGCACTAGGTCGTATAAAATGGAAAAACCGTGGATCGGAATAACTATTTGAAATTTAGCGGTAATCCGGCTTCGAGTGCAAAGGGTGATAGTTCCACTGACAATGAGCTATGGAAAGTTAACCGTTCGTACAAGAGATGATTGTATTGATTACGGAAGGTCGAGCCCGTTTGCAGGCAGTTCGACGGTCGAGTGTCTTTCAAAAGGCAGCTAAAATTCATCTGTTCGAGCGGGTACGCAGTTCCTCAAGGTGTCGGCAGCCGCCGTGAAAGCATTTCTTAACTCCGCGCGGCTTCCGCGAGCATTTTCACAGTGAGCTCGGCTAGCCCCGAGTTTCATTTCCCTAAAAGTACCCGCAGCAATCGTCGAGTTCCGACCGAAGCGGAGCGCCGCGCACCAGTTCTCGTCGGAATCTGAAATTAAAGAATCCTCAGTATATCCGCGAGGTCGGTTTGCTTCAAACGAACCGGCTCGCGTGCTGTGGTCTCGATTAGAATACCGAATACGCTGCGAACTCAGGTTGCGTCTCCTTAAATAAGAAACAAAGCTCTCGTTGCTGAGTTCTGCGTAGGGGAGGACTGCCCTGATCCTCGAGCACGTGTCGAGTAGAAAAACAGAATGCACTCCTTGCATCAACACGTTATGCGCGCTGTCTGACTCTGTGCAATACATTCCTACACGTTCCCAAGAGGAAAAGTATTTTCGCATTGTTCATATTTAATGTAGCAAATATACGACAGAATTGAGTATGGTAAATATATAATGTAAATATATAGATAATTGTATATTGTAAATAAATAAGTTGAGATCATTGTTTTTATGAACTGGTCATCGCAGAAGCGTACACGGTGTATTAACATGATTAATCGTCAGATTATGTTTAACTTAGAAACAAATGAACGAACTATATATAGAAAGAAAAATTACAATGACATTGGAAGAATCTAAGAATTCAATTATTTTCATTCAATTTCGATTTCGTACGAGCAACTTGGAAAATCTTTATTTAGCTTAGAAAAGCACAACCTAGTCGTGTGAGTAACTGTAGCATCAGGACCCCGTTAACACGCGTCAATGAACAAACAATGTTGAAGAACAGTTAGACAGATCAAGGGTTGTGTTTTCCGCAAAGCATAAAAATACTCAATTTGACAATTACAGTCACAAAGAGCCGAAAAATTAACAGTACAATCATAATGTAGTTTACCTTCAATGCACTGCACTGAATCAATTAACTGCAACGA